GTTCTCTCTCGCGTGGAACACCAGTGGGGCGGTGGTCGTTCCCCTGCAATCAACGGACGTCGACTTTTCGACGAGCAAACAAACGGAATTTCGCCGGGTCGGCGACTCTCTGACCTTTCGAGATCGAATCGACCGTGCACGTCTCACGAAGACAGACGTGTTTTAATATTGCCAACCTTTCTCATCTAGCAAAACGAGAAGAGTCAACGAGAGCGTGTCGAGTATCGGCATTCTAGTATTCTCACTTTACGAAATTTACATTTAGATTCGAAGAATTTGATATATAATTATTTCGAACGAACACATTACCTGGTGAATATGCCTCGGTCGTCATTAGGATCGACCACGTGGATGGACACGTTGGTGATCAGCATCAGGTCCCGTTCGTCGGTAACTATTGCCTCGAAATCGTAGATCGATCGGTCGAATCTTTCGATTTCCTCGACCACCGTGATCGTACCCGAGCGTTCCTCCACCGCGAACGGCACTGAAATTCGATGTATGCAGCATGTGTCGCGTATTACAGGTTCTGGATGGCCCGTTACACGAGCTTATTGGATCGTTAGACCATCACCGGTTCGGTAATGAGAATTTTATTATCGCTTTCGAGGTGATCTAAACGAAGTTTGCCAACAATTTGACGTTGAAATATTGGAAATATATTCGGATCGATTCGATTCCAATTTTTTTCCGAGGGGAAAATTTAATTTTCTCGCGAGCGAGGTAAAGGAGAGAAAGGAAGAAGGTCGATTTCTGAAAACTAAAAGAGATGATATCGTTGCTTTCGCAGTGCAGTGTTTCGATCGAATTAAAAAATTTTCCAAGACGGAATCATTCCTATTAACAACCTGTTGCTGGATTAATCGTATTACGTACCACCTTCCTCGTAGCTGTGCAAGAGGTCGTAGATCAGGTCGTTGGTCTTCACGGCGTCGTTCAAGCGTATTTGGCCGACGCTGGTTCCGACCGGCACGTTGGCACCCACCCAAAATTCGTAAGGGGCGCCCACGAAATCCGGCTCCAACGACTCCGGCCCTGCGACGAAAGGGAGAAAGAGAATTCGTGAGAAAGGAGTCGAAAGGAACGATCGAAGGGAATCGGCGTCGATCGTTTAGACCGCGATAAAAATATCGTTCCACGGCGCGTGGAACGCCTCTTCCGAGTGAAAATATTTTAGGATTTTCTTTGTCCCGACGTATGTAACGCGTTCGTGGAACGTATCTCCTCGCGATACGACCAGAATATTTCCCACAGTTGACGAAACGCGTTTTATGGATCTTCGTGACTGGTGTAGAAAGTGGAAGATAGCGGAGGAGACCGCGGAAAACGTTGACAGAAACGCGTATCGATTTATTATAGAATTTTTACATTAAATTTTGCAAAAAAATTGTGAAGAAATTATAAAATTAAAATAGATTTCGAATTAAAAAATATTTACAAATATCTACATATACATTGTTGTGGACAATTAAAGCTTTCGTATTGGAAACATTAAGAAATTTGTGTTCAGTTACGAAATCTAATTGTCTCTGATTGCAAAAATAATTAAAGTTGTATTGGCCAAAAATATAATGTTTCTAAGAGTTTATAAAATTTATAAAAAATATTTAGAACATGATGTGTTGATAATTTACGCGGACAGAACACAAATGTATACGAAGATAGAAGAATTGTAAGAGTATCTTGACGTAATGTTGATGAACTTCAAGAACTGTAAAACGAAAATTAAAAGAGACATGTTTAAAGAATTATGTAGCAAACTATACATCACTGAAGTACAAAAGAAGAAACGTTTAAATTTCATCAAAAAGTATATAAATAAACCACCATTATTCTGGAAACAAATAATTTGGAATGATGAGAGTAAATTTAAATTATTAAATAAGAAGAAAAGGGTACAAGTTTGGAAAAACTAAATGAATCCTTTGAAAAGGAGGATTAATAATAGTATTAACTTGTTTTTCGTAGTATGGAGTCGGAAATTTAGTATCCATAGATGGCATTATGAATGCAGATAAATACATTGATATCCTGAATGAAAATTTAAAAGAATCAATTTTAAAAATGGACAACAAGATCACGATAACACAAAGCATATCGCAAGGAAACTGCAAAATAGACATTGATCTAATAAAAAATTCGTAGATGCAGAAAAAAAAGTACTATTAAACAAATATTTTTCGAAGAATTGCAATTGAAAATTCAACAGATTGTCAAAAACCAAATAACTAATTACTGAATCTTTATGAATGTATAAAGTCCACTAAATTATGTCCACATTATTTAGTTTCGTATAAACGATACAAAATTATAGTCCATTCTTTTCATCATAATTGAATTTCAATCCCTCGATTAACTTAATTTTAAATTAAGTCTGGACTTTGTGGAGGCCTTTTCGTATAAACGATACAAAATTATAGTCCATTCTTTTCATCATAATTGAATTTTAATCCCTCGATTAACTTAATTTTAAATTAAGTCTGGAGGCCATTCCATTCTATTTTGCAGTTTCCTTGCAATATGTTTTATGTTATAATCTTGTCCATTTTTAAAATTGATTCTTTTAAATTAATTTTTACCAGACAAAACTTACCATCCGATCTGAAGACATCCACGGTGACCACAGCGAGGGAGAGCCTCCTCTCGCTGGGGTTGGCCGGTTGATCGGCAGCCTCGACGAAGATGGCGTGCCTCCCCTCGAGAATCGGGCTCTCGGACACCGAGATCGTGCCCGTGGCCTCGTCCACCGTGAACGGAGGCGTCCTCGAGCTCGAATTGCCCGGCTTCTGCAACCTGTACCTGACCATCCCGTTCGGGCCCAGGTCGTCGTCCACCGCGTGCACCTGGCCGAGCACGGTGCCCACCTTCGAGTCGCTCCTCGCGACCAACTCGTACAGATTTCCAGGCACGAAGATCGGGTTGTTGTCGTTGGCGTCGAGCAACGTCACGTCGACGTCCACCGAGGAGGAG